CTGGCCTCTGCACACGCGATTGCCCGCCCCCCCCCCCAACAACTCCCTTCCCCACCCCGATAGTGTGTTTCTCCCCCACATGGTGTGCGCTTTCCCGCCTTTTTTCCCCTTGACTCCCACTCTGATTTTTGCCTCCCTTCCCTCAATCACCACCCAATCCCGACTCTTCCCTCTCTCTATCTGACCTCTGCGCCCCAACTCCCGTCCTCCCTGATCCTGATCTCGCTCCCACCGGCGCCCAACCCCGCTACCCTCCCGGCGCCCATTCTCACTACCCTCGCGCCACTCTCTCCCTATTCCCCCACTGCCGATTCCACTCCCTGGCCGATCCCGACACATCATCCCGACTTCGATCCCCAACTCCCCTCCATCACCTGACACATCGCCCCCCTGATCGATCTATCCCACCACTCCTCCCCGGATCTGCCCCCCCCCACTGCACCCCCGCGCTTCTCCTCCCGCCCGCCCGTGATTCCCTCCGCTCGCACGTGCGCACGACCTCCCTCCTCATCTATTCCCCGCTCACACGCACGTGCACGTCGGGATGTTGGCGAGAGCGGCACACCTGTTAGACGATAACACAAATGTCCTAAGATGAGATCAACGAGAACAAAAATCTCGGTTAGAGCTTATTCGATTTTGACTTCCTGTACGAATACAAACTGTGAGAGCGGCCAATAGATCCTTTAACGTTTCTGGACGCTAGATGTGTCAGAAAAGTCACCACCGGGATAACTGGCTTGGCCCCGCCAAGCGCTCACAGCGATGCTGCTTTTTGCTGCCCCGACATTCGCGGCGCCGCCATCTTCAAGGACCATCATCATCACCGCCATTGTCGATATCATCATTGTCACCGTGCACATTCGATCCGGCAACCTCGTGGTTCCACCAGGGAACGATCAAGAAGAGCCTTTAGGGTTTGATTGAAGACCTTCCTCGACTAGGAGGAAGGACCTTCATTGCTCCCGACCGACCGGGAGCGAGATATCGTCCATCATTCCCCCTTTACTAATTCTCTCCCTTCCTCTCGTCGATCTCCCTCAAAAATCTTATATTTTTCTTCTTCTACCTCCCCTCCGTTCCCCTTCTCCCCTCTACCATCAAACCTAATAGGTTGCATCATCTAAAATTCCTAACGTGTGTGACACGTATTGTCTTTCCTTGTGCTTTGCCCGACAATGTCGCCCATTTTGCCGTGCGGGAATTCTACCTAATTCAATAGGATTCATCCTCATTCTCTTTTCTCCCAACGTGGTAAACTGAATCAATTTCAACATTTTTGTCCAAAAGTTACGTAAATTCCTTTACTGTACAAATTACTTTTGTTATTTATCTTTGAAAATCAATTTCTTTTCAGAAATTCGTGAAGTAAACTCGGGAATTTACCAAATTTGATTCTTATGTCGTCAAGTCAACTTCTACTTTCTATTCCCCGTAAAATTCTAAAATTTTGCAATTCGTTTTGAAATTCTTTTGGAATTTCTTTGAAATTTCTTTGAAATTCGTCTTAATTTTACAATATGTTGATAAATCTTATTAATTTTATCTAAATAATTTAAAAATTTCTCTTAATTTATTTTCTTTGGCTGTCATTAATTTCTTATATCATTTTATTGTAAACTCTTAATTTAGTAATTAGTTTTTTTGTTTTATTTTAAATTGTCTTAAAATTTTATTACTATTTTTTAAATTCCTTAAATACGTCATGAATTTTTTTATTTTCTTTCAAAATTTTCATCTGAACTTATCTCTATCTCTTATTTCACCTTCCTAAAATTTTGAATTTTTTTGCGCATATTTTTTTAATTCGTTGAATTTTACTTTTTTTTTTTTTTTTGAATTTACGTCCAAATAATTTTGGAATTTTACTTTGATGTTGTGCCTGTCTTATCCTCCTCCTCCTCCTCCTCCTCCTCCTCCTCCTCCTCCTGCTCCTCCTCCTTCTCCTCCTTCTCCTCCTCCTCCTCCTCCTCCTCCTCCTCCTCCTCCTCCTTGTTCTTCTTCGCCTCCTCCTCCTCCTCCTCCTCCTCCTCCCCCTCCTCCTTCTCCTCCTCCTCCTGCTCCTCCTCCTGCTCCTCCTCCTTGTCCTACTTCGCCTCCTCCTCCTCCTCCTCCTCCTCCTCCCCGGCGTCGCCCTCCTCCTGTACTTCCTCCTCCTCCTCCTCCTCATCTTCGTCCTCCTGTACTTCCTCCTCCTCCTCCTCCTTCTTCTCCTCCTCCTCCTCCTCCTCCCTGTCGTCGTCCTCCTTCTATACGTCCTCCTCCTCCTCCTCCTCCTCCTCCTCCTCCTCTTCTTTCTCCTCCTCCTCCTTCTCCTCCTCCTCCTTTTCCTCCTCACCGTCGTCGTCCTCCTCTTGTACTTCCTCCTCCTCCTCCTCCTCCTCCTCTTCCCTGTCGTCGTCCTCCTGTACTTCCCCCTCCTTCTCCTCCCCGTCGTCGTCCTCCTCTTGTACTTCCTCCTCCTCCTCCTCCTCCCCGTCGTCGTCCTCCTGTTGTACTTCCTCCTCCTCCTCCGCTGACCAACACACGATCGCCACGTCAACACGCGCCCAAATTTTTTTTTTTTTTCTTCTTCCTCTTCTGCCTTGTAATCCCCCTCCTCCTCCTCCTCGTATTCTTCTCCTTCTCTCCTCCTCGTATTCTTCTTCTTCTCCTCCTCGTATTAACGGCCTCCTCCTCCCCCAATTTTTTTTTTTCTTTTTTTCTTTTTTTTTGTCCGATCAATCAATCAATCAATCAATCAATCAATCAATCAATCAATCAGTCAATCAGTTAATCAGTCAATCAGTCAATCAATCAATCAATCAATCAATCAATCAATCAATCAATTAATTGATCAATCGATCGAAGATCCTATCGAATCAATCGATTCGATGCGATCTTCGATCGATCGATTGGTTGGTTGATTGATTGATTGATTGATTGATTGATTGATTGGAGGAGGCCACGGCAACGGAGGAGGAAGAAGAAGAACGGGCCTCCTCCTCCTCGTATTCATTTTTTTCTCCTCACATTCTTTTTCTCCTCCTCCCCTCCTCCCCCTCCTCCTTTCGTCTTCTTGTTCTTTCGGCGTTCTCCTCTCCGTCTTCTCCTTCTTTTTTCGTCGTCCTCCTATGTTGCCCCCTGGCCGCGGCCGCCGGCCGTGGACGGGACCCCCCCAGCTGAGGCCGCTCGGGGCGAGAACTTCCGGCCGTGGCATGGCCGATCGGGGAGGGGGTTTTGGGAGCGGGGAACGGGTTTCGGTGTGGGGGGAGGGGAGCACCCCCTCGAAGTGGCAGACCGTCAAAAAAATTAAAAACGGGGGGGTCCTAAACATGGGCCTCGCAGGGTGGCCGAAAAAATTCAAGCGTCCCCGGAGTTGCGGTTCGTTGACGCAGGTGCGCAGGGAGGAGGGTCGGCAACACAAGGAAATAAAAAAAAAAAATGCGGTCCCTGCGGGGACGGCTTAAGGGGGGTTGGATGGGGCCTGGGTTAGGGTGTGGTACGTGATAACCGATCTTGTATCTCTCTCTCTCTCTCTCTCTCCTTCTCTCTCTCTCTCTCTCTCTCTCTCTCTCTCTTCGTGCTAGCACCAATGGGCCATGGTGGCGGCACGGCTAGACAGCGGCAGCATAACGACAACAACATCAACTGTTGCCGTTTCAGACAAATGTCCGCATTTATCTGAAACGGCAACAGCTTTGCCGTTGCCTT